AAGACATTTTCCCACTGTCACTGCCAAAGTATTCTCTGATCAAGAGCTTTACACCGGCCCAAGCATCTTATGATATATGGGAGCGCAAACTATAATAGGCTATCACATTAATATTATTCATGTTGAAAATAGTAAAGTGCTGCTACTCCAAAGTCAAAGTAGTGGAACGCTTGAAAAATAATGTTTATGCTGCTACTCCGACAGTTAGACGTCAATGTCTAAATAGCAGCATGTACCCGTTTTCAGTGGCCTGTGCTTATTGGCGCATGGGCCCAAAAATAATTTTCTCTTCCGCATCACTTCCTCAATACAGGAGAACTTCTCCCACCCGTGTGACGTTTGTAACATGCACAGTGTGGGGTGTTTGGACCAATCAGAGCAAAAGCTGCTAGTGTGGGCTCAGCGGCATACAAAGATCACTTTTAGGCACTTTGAGGATTTAACATTTTTAAAAGTTTGTGTTGTGAAAATAGAAAAGAATCCTTACAAAAAAAAAGTGCACTCTGGAAGATTTTTTTGGGAGAATTTTTTCTAGGTCTAAACTCTTAGGAGCTGCAGTACCTGGAGCGGCCACTAGTTGGTCTGGAGCCGGGACAGAGAGGGAATGTCTTATCCAGTTTTTATTATAGATCCATGGTCTGTGGGCATCGCTGTGTTTTTTTTTTTTTTTTTTTTTTTTTTCGTTTGGGCACTTTCCCTTTGGCTCCACCCAAACCTTAATGCTGCGACGTGATTGGTCCACCTTTCTGCTTAACTCTACATCAGATTCCCCACATTCCTCTCCCTTGATCCCCTGATCTCCTTCCATCCACCTGTTGTGCAATATTTAATACAATGCAATATTTTGATATTATAATACAGTGCAATATTTGACTGATTTAATACAATGCAATATCTTGACTCAGTGCAATATTTAATACAGTGCAATATTTCAACTGAGTGCAATATTCAGTACTGTGCAATATCTTGACTGAGTGCAATATTTAATACAATGCAATATCTTGACTCAGTGCAATATTTAATACAGTGCAATATTTCAACTGAGTGCAATATTCAGTACTGTGCAATATCTTGACTGAGTGCAATATTTAATACAGTGCAATATCTTGCTTAACTGAGTGTTTAAATCTTGGGTTTGCTTTTAATCTTGTTGTGCACGTGTGTAATGTGGATTGCACATGTGTATAGTCACAATAAAAGGCATTCTATTCCATTATCACCAGAATCCATCTGTTACAAATGACTCACCTCATTCTCTGTGTGTGCAATTCAATTCAACTCTTTCTAAAAATCCTCAAATAGCATACACTTCTGTTTGGACAATTTCTATGTCTTATGCGATCCTAAACACTTATAGTTTTCGGCGGAAACAACCACACTAGTTGCCGCTGATGTAAACAATATGCTGAGGTGTGTGAAATAAAAGAACTCTCAACACAAGTATAACACATCGAGTAAATAAACGCCTTTGCAGAAAATGAGTGGAAAAGAACAAAACGCAATATATAATTTCACAAAAGAAAATGAAAAAAGTTGTAAGCGATAACCCGACACCAGTGTTCTGAAGTCCCCTGAGCTCTTGTTTGCTCACTATTTTGGCTCTCGGTGTTTGAGTGTGTGAAATGCTATCAGGCGTGCGCAGGCTGATGAAAAACACAGGGTCGATCACAGCTGGACCTTGGCGTTATATTGGCTGCTCTGTCTGCGGTTTGGTTCTAACAAGTGGTCAGGGAGAGGCCAGAGGAGAGACCGAGCGCACCCGCCCCCCCCTGCTCCCTGCTCCAGACTCCAGTTAATAGAAAAGACCTGGCGGAGCAGCTCCTCTCGTCCTCTCCGCGCCGACACCCAAATGCAACGCTCCCTCCGCAGATTCCATTATCCCGGAGCTGACCTGGGTCCACTTCAGCAGCTCGGAGTTACACGGGACCACGGCGGAGCGAGGAGACCGAGGGGTAAATGTGCGGTTATGCATATCACTGCGAGTTGGTTTGAGGATAGAAATGGAAGAGAAATGTAACTTTTAGTCAGTTTTAATCCAAATCCGCTCCACTTTTTTTTCTTTAAAGATCCTATATTACGCAAAATTGACTCTTGCGAGGTTTGAGCCATGTGAGAATGTTGTTACATCATCAAAAAATATCTAGTGAAGGTGCACGGAACACTTCCTGTATTACCACGACATCACGAAGTGGAACAGAGTGTTTTTTATTTGACAGACGAACTCCCAGGTAAGTTTTTAACGAGGAAACAACATTACAACATAGATCAGAAAATAGTATTGTGGCGAGGTTCTATTAAAAACTCAGGCGAGATCGGATTTCCAAGGGCAGGTGGATTTATTGTGTTAGTGTGCGAAGTGCCAAAAAATCCCAAGACAGTGCAAAAAATATTTACAGTGAGCAAAATGTCCAGTAAGTATCTACAACAACAGAAACTTTAACTCAGGTTCCCTTTAAGTCCAACTTTATACAGCAATATGAGGCCTTTAATACTCTATTTAGAATATTTTAGTTACAAAACAAAACAAAAAATTATAATATTACACAATTGAGTCCTTTTTTTGTCAAAATGAACTCATATTAGAACTTCATTAGTCTGAAACTTCATCTAGAAGTATTGTCCAGTTCACCCAAGCACACTTACATGCACACACACACCAACATTAATATCAAGGAAAGTGTGTAGCTCATGGACACAACAGCAGTATGTATATAAGTACATATCCTTCTTTTTTGTTGTTGTTATTGTTGATGGTTTAGTTTTACCATGCTCAAACAAATAAATGAATGAATGAATGAAGATATGTAGTGCTAGAACGGCTACTGAGCTTTTATTATACTTAATATACAGTGTAATCCCTCCATCTGGTCTGGAAAGTTATGGAAATATTTCAGATTCAAATTTAGAAAAACAGAACAGCATAATGACCATCGTAACCACTCAGTTATCTTTTGTGTTAGATTTGATTTAACTCATTTCTTAAAGGTCCTATATTTTACAAAATGGACTCGTGAGCCTTAAGGGCTGCCACACACCACAGGATTTCTTGGTTTTAAGTCGGGTTTACACTGTGCGATTTTTGTCCCTTTTTGAGTCTGTTTTTGGGAGTTTTGGCTCAATCGTCTGTCGTGCTTCGTGTAGTAAACATGGACCAATTAATACCTCATGACCAGCTCCCGACTGGCAATAGGAGGTCTCAAGAATATCAAACCTGTTTGAAATCCAGTCGCCTCTCGTGAGAGTTTCGCTCTGTTAAAGTAGTTCCACAAGCTGTGAACTTTTAAACCCTGTGATTTGGTCATGCAGTTTGAGCTGAGGCTGAGTGAAACGATCGAAAATATTGCACAGTGTATGTCTGGCATGAAACATTTTTAAACATGCAACAAAAAGCGCACACCATAGACACAAAGAGAAACTGAAGAGATTTTAAATCTTTCATTGCAAAGACTGCAGCGGGATATGACCACAGGATATAAAGTTGTGATTGTGTTTCCTGTCTACAGTAAAACCACTCGCTCTGAGACTCTCAAGTGTTCAAAGATCAGAGCTCTGCACTTCTAGTTTAGATCCAAGTCAAAACTGTGTTATTATTTGTGAACTGTGGTGCAAAACTCCAGATACATAATTTTTAAAGCATAAAAGATTGGAGATAAAGTGCACAGGAAGTAGAGTTGCAATGGCTAATCTGCAGCTTCACCTCAATCTGTGCGCTGTGTGGATGTAAACAGACACACGTGAGGAACTACTCCCACCTTTTTACTTCTAAAGAACTCTTCAAACTGGATTAATTTTGCAGTTTTGTGGACTGGATGTCAATACCTGAGGACAATTTCTATGGATAATATGGATGAGATGCTGCAGTTTAATTTTACAACTTTACAAGAGGTGAGTAATAATTATTTTCACTACACTGAGTTTGTATCTTGCACCTGTGTGTCCGTAACTCTGTTTGCCCCTGACGCTCTGTTTTATTGGCTTTTACCGTATAAGATATGAAGCTCAGAGTCACACTGATACCACACAAACACACACGAGGAACGCAGCGGCTTCATAATCGCACACGGACACACAAAGCCGGGTCACACCTCCCTCTTCAGCTTTGTATATTTCAATTTCATTTCATATTTCATTGACGTCATTGAAAACATGAATTAATTCAGTTGGATATCGCGCCATTTCAGCCCCGTAACCATTGGCTCCCCCGTTCTATAACCAGACCTATAACTAAGCCAGATCACGGAATCACCGGAGACACAGATCAATACCGAAAATGATCTGACAGTTTGTTATCGCTGGAGGCCAACGAGGAGAGAAAAAAAGAAGATATCTCAAGGCAAGGACCAAATCGAAGAGAGGGAAGAAAGGGAGAGAGTGGAGTGAAGGGGGGCAGAGGGAGAGAAGGAATGAGACAGGAGGAGTAAGACCCAGAAGAAAGACTCCCAGAAAGCAGACATACAGAGTAGAAAGAGAGAGAGAGAGAGAAAAAAAACAGGTTGTCAAGTGTTTTTGTCCAGAAGAAAAGAAAAATGTGATAGTTTAGTCTGAAAATGCCCCCTCTTTTCCTCTCTCCTCAGACCCTGAAGTCCCCTGAGACCCCACAGAGCCACAGAGCCACAGAGCCACAGAGCCATGGAGGTAAAAGCTGGACTGTTTTCAAGGGGATGAAAAGAATCGCAGCCATTTTGTTTAATAAGGATTTGAGATTAAATGACTCTCAAGTCCGGCTCTCGGCTCTCACTGTCAACTCTGGCTCTCAACTTCGACTCTCACAGCTCACAGCTCTAGCTATCTCACCTCTGGCTCTCAGCTCTCTCAGCTCTGGCTCTCACCTCCAGCTCAGAGACCTCTGGCTCTCTCAGCCCTGGCTTTTTTAGCTCTGGCTCTCTGCTCTTTGGCTCTTGCTCTCTCAGCTCTGGCTCTCAGGTCTTTGGCTTTTCCGCGCTCGGCTCAGCTCTGGCTCTCAGCTCTGACTCTGACTCTCTCAGTTCTGGCTCTCTCACCTCTTTGTCTCCCTCAGCTCCGGCTCTCGACTCTTTGTCTCTCTCAGCTCTTGGTTTCTCTCAGTTCTGGCTCTCTCAGCTCTAACTCTCAGCTCTTTGGCTTTCTGCTCTCGGCTCTCAGCTCCGGCCCTCAGTTCCTTGTCTGTCTCAGCTCTCGTTCTAAATTCTCTGGCTCGCAATTCTGGCTCTCTAAGCTCTGGTTCTCAGCTCTCTGGCCCTCTTAGGTCTGCTCTCTTTGCTCTTAGCTCTCAGCTCTGGCTCTCGGCTCTATGGCACCCTCAGCTCTGGTTCTCAGCTCTCTGGTTCGCAATTCTGGCTCTCTCAGCTCTGGTTCTCGGCTCTATGGCTCTCTATGGCTCGCTCAGCTCTCTGGCTCTCGACTTCCGGCACTCAGCTCTCTGGCTCTCTCCGCTCTGGCTCTCTCCGCTCTGTCTGTCACTGTTGTCATAGTTAAGCACCTACACGCGTTTCCTCCAGCATCATTAAAATCCACCCACACATTTACAAAACAAGGCCAAACAGGAGAGAGCCGAGCGCAGAGACAAAGTCTGGGACGGGTTTATGTTTTATGTTTTAGAGGCCAGACGAGAGGGAACACTTTAAATACAACAACAACAACGGACAATACTGCGACTGGATTATTTTATAAAGACATTCATAATACAAACGACTCATCTGTTTTTGGATACAACTGTTTTTAATACTTTTATGTTTGCTCTTCATCTAAACTGTTTAGTAGTAGCAGTAATAGCAATAGTAGCTGTATTAGTAGCAGTATTAGTATTAGTAGTATTAGTACTAGGAGTAGCAGCAGCGGTGGCACGAGTAGTAGAGGTAGTAGTACTAGTTATCAGTAGTAATAGTAGTTGGCGTAATAGCAGTGGTGGTGGCAGTAGCAGTAGAGTTAGTAGTAGTAGTAGTATCAGTAGTTGTAGTAGTGGCAGTAACAGCAGCGGTGACAGTGGTAGTAGTAGTAGTAGTAGTATCAGTAGTAGTAGTAGTTGCAGAAGTGGCAGTGGGTAGTTGTAGTAGTAGCAGTAGTAGTAGTAGCAGTAGTAGTAGTAGCAGTAGTAGCAGCATTGGCAGTGGTAGTAGCGGTAGTAGTGGTAGTAGTAGTAGATGCAGAAGTGGCAGTGGGAAGTAGTAGTAGTGGTAGTAGTAGTAGCAGCAGTAGTAGCAGTAGCAGTAGCAGTAGCAGCAGCATTGGCAGTGGTAGTAGTGGTAATAGTAGTAGTAGTAGTAGTAGTAGTAGTAGCAGCAGTGGTGGCAGTAGTAGTAGAGGTAGTAGTACTAGTATCAGCAGAAGTAGTAATTGGAGTAATAGCAGTGGTGGCAGTGTAGTAGTAGTAGTAGTAGTAGTAATAGTATCAGTAGTAGTATCAGTAGTAGTAGCTGCAGTAACAGCAGCGGTGCCAGTGGTGGTGGTATTAGTAGTAGTAGTAGTAGTAGTAGTAGTAGTAGTAGTGGTAGTAGTAGTAGTAGCAGTAACAGCAGAGGTGCCAGTGGTGGTAGTAGTAGTAGTAGTAGTAGTAGCAGTAGCAGTAGTAACAGTAGTAGTAGTAATAGTACTAGTAGTAGCAGAAGTAGCAGTGGCAGAGATAGTAGTAGTAGTAGTAGTAGTAGTAGTAGTAGTAGTAGGTCTAGTATCAGAAACTTCAAGGTCAGGGGGTGAGTTCATTACGTCTAATTGTTTTATTTCAGCCTTTTTATAAATAACTTCATTTACATTTTTCTGGACAAACCCAAACACACACAGTCGTCAGCCGCCTGTCCCCAAACCTGAACTGGACACATTACAGTGGACAGGACACTGGCTGACATTTCCCCAGCATTTTATTTGCTCTGCCTGCTCCTCCCTGGCCTCCCATTATCACCGAGCAGCAGACAGGATCCTCCAACTCCACAAAAATAAAACACACAACACACACACACACACACACACTAAGACTAAATAAATAATTCTCGCTCTGCCAGACCGTTCTGTTTGGTGTCCGGGCGACTGGGGACATGCGTTTGACAGCAGCATACAGCCGGCCTTCACTGTATGGGACGAGTGTGACGCTAAAACTAACACAAAGACTTAATGTTATGCAGGAATCCACCTTGACACGGCGTTCTGTTAGGCCACCTGTCCACGGGCCGAGAGCCGCGAGCCGTTTGAATAATGTATCACATCTACAAACATCAAATATGACTTGTTGTGTTCAATGTAACGGAATACAATTATAGGAGAAACTTTATTTGTCTCACAACAGGGGGAAGTAGGACACAGTAGAGGACGAGATAAAAAAAAACGGCAGGATTAGTAGAGTAGTGCGGGTTAATACGGACATTTGGTGACAGTTTTTCAATGTAAAGTGAATAGACGCATCAAGAATCTCGGACTTCCGGTCATTGCGCAATCCATACTGGGAAGGATTTTACGAAAAAGTGAGCATCAAATCGCTTTTCCCAGTGGGATGCGTCTATTGACAAAGCCGATCTTTTCAAGTCTTTTGAACCATATCACTTTTGTTTCTGGTTCTGATATTGTCATATTTTAGTTTGGGGATTCGGACATCGTAATTGTGTGGTTGTTGGATCCTAACAGCGGAAAATGGCTTGAAAAATTTGTTTGCGAACTCCAAAAATGCAAAAGGGAATCAGATGTGTGTGAATATCAGAACCAGAAACAAAAGTGATATGGTTCAAAGGACTAGAAAAGATCGGCTTTGTCTATTGACAAACTGGGAAAACAAAAATCCTTCCCAGTATCTATTGTGCAATGACAGGAAGACCGACATTCTTGATGCGTGTATTGGAGCCAGAGTCGATGGAACCGGAAGTGCCCCCACGATCACTTCCATAGTACCAGAAGAATTAAAGTATCAAAACAAGAGGTTAAAAAAATTAAAAAGGAGGTTAAACTGTTTGGAATTTCAGAGTGATGATAAACAAGAAACACAATATTCTAACTTTTAAATAATGTAAAGTCGTTAAAATGTTGTCTATAACTGGAAGGGAATTTATACAAATAAGATACTAAGAAGAAGAAAAAAATAATCTAAATACAGTAAAACGTAAGATTACACTCTAAGAAATGTAATATTAGATTTAATTAAAAATGTTTTGTCGTCTGATTTTACACAAACATGTTGTTTGTTGAAATGTTGTCAGTTAAATATAACACTTGGTTATGACTCAATTCAAAGCAATAATGTGAATTAATTCCAAAGTAAAACTGTTGACTACACAAAGCTCTCTTGTACCAATTAACAATATTGTTTTTTGAATTTCAACATTATTATCCTCATTTTAATTATTAAGTTTGTATAAAATTACAACCAATCTCTAGATTAAATGAACTATGTTGGAATTACAAACAAAAACAAATAGTTTCTATAGTTTTATTGCAAATATACTGCAACAACTTTGTCAACAGTTCAGTAAAGCACATGTAACAAACACTTGTGCTGTATATTTAGTACTTGATGTACTTGAAGTCTGATGACTCTGATTTAATTTGAAAGTTGTTTTATTTTTTTTAGTACAATTACATTTTTGTTTACATCCATCACATATGATTATTATGATTTTTCTTATGATTATTGTTTAAAAGAAAACTACTCTCATTTAATGTCATACTGAAAGAAAATCAAATTGCCCAATTGGTTGGGGGGGGGGCCTCCAGGTTTGGGGGCCCTTGGTAGTCGCCTTCTTTTGCCTAATGGTAGCGCCGCCTCTGCTTTTTACCTTAAATTCAGTAAAGATGAGCAATTCCAGGGCTGATCCAAATGATTCTAGTTTAAAAACACAGTGGAGCACTTCCTGTATTACCACATTTTCTGTTTGAGAGAAGAACTCCTAAATGTGCAGGGTTTGTGAATGAAACCAAACACAACTCCAGGTGTGTTTGTGATGAGGAAACAACATTAGAACAAACTGTAGATCAGAAAATGGAGAAACATGGTCCTTTAAACAATACACTTCAGTTTGTATTATTTACGTATACATGAGTCTATATTTATGTGTATTGTATTAAAGAGGATGTCATGCAGTTCAGAGTGATCCTTTCGCCTGAGCCTGTGCCCTCTGTGCCCTCTGTGCCCTCTGTGCCCCCGCTGCCATTAAACACCATCTGCTGTGTACAGAGGGCACCATGACGCACCAGCACCGTCCAACTGCACCTTCTAAACACGCTCCCAGCTCACTGTTTACCACCGCCTTTACTCAACCACCTCTTCTAGCTCTCTCTGTCTTTCTCTCTGTCTGGTTTCGGAGGTGCTGGTGTCTGTGAGCGAGAGCCGACTCATATTTGGACCTGTGTTTTTGTAAATAGTGCACTTTAAATGGTTTGTATATGTAAGGTTCATACATGAGTCATTTTTAAAGTAAATCGCATGAGGTGTCGACAAAACTGAATCCAAAATGTTAACGGACACAAAAAGTGTCTCTTACTGTGTCTCCTAACTCTCTGTCTTTCTTTACTCTCTTTCTGTCTCCTACTCTCTCTCTGTCTCTCTCTCTGTCTTTTATTAAACTTCTCTCTCTGTCTCCTACTCTCTCTCTCTGTCTCCTACTCTCTCTCTGTCTCCTACTCTCTCTCTGTGTCTCTACTCTCTCTCTCTGTCTCCTACTCTCTCTCTGTTCCTCTGTCTCTACTCTTTCTGTCTTTTTTTTCTTCACTCTCATGTCTCTGTCTCTACTCTCTCTGTTCCTCTCTCTCTGTCTCCTACTGTCTCTACTCTCTCCTCTCTCCTCTGTCCTTTTACTCTCTCTTCTCCTCTCGTCTCCTCTCTCTCTGTCTCCACCTCTGTCTCTGTCTCTCTCTCCTACTCTCTCTCTGTCTACTCTCTCTCTCTGTCTCCTACTCTCTCTCTCTCTCTCTGTCTTTCTCTCTTGTCCTACTCTCTCTCTGTCTCCTCTCTCTCTCTGTTCCTACTCTCTCTCTCTGTCTCCTACTCCTCTCTCTCCTCTCTCTCTCTCTGTCTCCTACTCTCTCTCTCTGTCTCCTACTCTCTCTCTGTCTCCTACTCTCTCTCTCTGTCTCTCCTCTCTCCTCTCTCTCTGTCTCTTTCTCTCTCTCGTCTCCTACACTCACTCTGACAGTCCCCCCCCCCCCCCCCCCGTCTCCTACTCCCTCTCTGTCTGTCTCTATCTCTCCCCTTCTCTCTCTCCCTCTGTCTCATACTCCCTCTCTCTGTCTGTCTTCCTCTGTCTGTCTCACTCTCTCTCTCTCTGTCTCCTACACTCACGCTCTGAGCTTCTCTTTTTCACTCCCCCCCTTCTCTCTGTCTGTTTCTCTCTCTCTCTTTCTCTCTCTTTGTCTCCTACTCCCCCCTCTCTCTGTCTTTCTCTGTCTCTCCCCCTTTGTCTTTCTGTCTCCTACTCTCACTCTTTGTCTGTCTTTTTCTGTGTCTCTCTTCTTCCTCCTCTCTCTCTCTCTCTCTTCATCTCTCTAGGTTAGTGCTTCAGTTCAATCCTGTTAGAGCACATGGCAGGACCACAGCTTGTGCAGAAACTCTCAGCGTGAGCAGGCCCGTGTATCGTCCGTGTGGTCCGAGGAGGGAGAGGAGGAAAGCTCTATAGGAGATCCGGCTCTTTTATTGTGAGAATCAAGTCTTTTGGATCGGGTCACCTCGAAGATCCGCTCAATAAACCATGTTACAATGTTTTTACCTCCTCAAACACAGACCTGAACTTTTGTGTTTTGTGTCATCCACATGTTTTAGTGACCTTTTATTATGAGTCTGACTACATCTCCAAAGCTCATAACGCTCTGTTCCACCTTGTGATGTCATGAAGTGGTAGTTTTTTTGATTGATGGATTTGTTTTTTTATTTTGAGTTTGTGCCAAGAGAGAAACAATAATCATACACAAACTACATCTACCTTATAAACAACAACAAAAGCACATTTCTAAAAGGAGAAAAAAAAAAAAAAAATATATATATATATATATATATATATATATATTATATATATATATTGTGTGTGTGTGTTGTATATATTAACCCATCCCTGTTCATGACAAGTAAAAAAAAAAAAAAGTGGTTTCTTATGTACCTTGATCATGGAACTTTACAAATATCTAAATATAGTAAAATAAATTTCATTCTATGGTCGGAGAAACTAATATTAAAGAATAATGATAAAGACGGCACAGAAGTTTATCATTTATGATCGTATCAAAATAATCAAAATGAGAATGAAGAATGTAAGGATTTTTTTTGTTTGTTTACATTTATGATTGTACAAACTAATAATGTTAACGGAGGCACACAATTTTGTCTTTTATGATCGTATAAAATAAACCACAATGAGAATGAAAAAATTTAAGGATTTTTTTTGTTTTGTTTCCATTTATACCTGGACCTGGACCTGGACTAGTACAAACTAATACTAATGACAAAGACGAAACAAAGATTTATTGTTTATGATCGTGCAAATAAGCAAAATGAGAATGAAAAATGTAAAGATCTTTTTTTTTTTGTGTGTTTATTGTTTTTGTACAGAAATTGTGATCAAAATAACCAGAATGAAAAATGTAAAATGACAAACTAAAAAAATGTTACATTTTTTTTTGATTGTAGCAAAATAACCCACAATGAGAATGAAAAAAATTGAAAATTTTTGTTGTTGTTTTTTGTCGTATAAGCTA